GAACTATTATGTTTTTGTTTCCTAAAAAAGAGTAAGTATTATCTTCGACAGTATCAAGCTTTAAACTTGAGTGTATTTTTCAAATTTGATAGTAATTATTCTTATTTAAAGAATGAAAACTTTACAATCATATTTTGAAATTTTCAAACGTTTTTACTCTTATTTCCAAAATTTTCCTTTAACTTTTTAAAACAGGAAACTTCTTTAAAACCAATACCTTTCCTATGTGAAGAATCAAAACTTAAAATGTTTACTTCCCCAATAATTCTTCTCCATTTCATTTATTCTCTCTTCCTTAATTTCACTCGTCTACAATTCACTAACCGATCGATGTTCGATTAAAAGGGCACTTATATTTTGTTGACTATACTATACCGTGAATCTCTAATCCGATTTGCCCTCTTATTAATAATTTTTTCAAGAAAAAGATCTTATATGAATATTAGGAAAGTAGTAGCCGAGAGCAATGTCACATGACGCAATACAAAGAGCTCTACGATCAAACAAAGAGATAATCACTCTCAAGAGAACAATAGGAATATATTATATATAATTGATCTTGAGACAATAACCCTCACCCAGTCACCCGTCACCACTACGTACAAGGAACGAGGATTCCCCAACTCCAATGTGTTTGAGTCTCAAACTAAAACAAACTTAAACATATCATATTCAGATAATAGTAAAATACACATATATTCCTTCAGTCCTAGCTTAGCTTCACAAATACTAAAAACAATACCCATATAACATGCATCACAATTATTATTTGTGACATTAATATGTCATATACCCACCGAAATTATTTTTCAAAATACATTCGAATGACATTATTTATTTATTTATTTATTTTAATTCATTTATTTATTTATTTATTTATTTATTTATTTATTTATTTATTCATTTATTTATTTATTTATTTATTTTTTTATTTATTTATTTATGTATTTATTTATTTATTTATTTATTTATTTATTTATTATTTAAGTAATTGTGTCAATTTTCAATGAGAAACTTAAGATGGAATGAATGTAGTACCAAATATTTTGGATTAAAGCCAGTAGAATTTGAAAATATTTTAAATAACATAATTCTCAACCAAAGAAAAATTATAACAAAAACAAAATGAAAGGTTCACCCGTATAAAAACTTGATGTGAATTTTGAGGGGGAGTTTTCTACTTTAGAGAAAACTGGATGTTTTGTCAATGTTTGGCAATAGGGATGAGTTGAGAAAATTGAAAACTTCCCCTCAAAATCTGTATCCTTGAGAGAATCTTTTCATTGTATATTGTCTAGCATCGGGAGGAGAAAAATGAACCCCCCAATGTACAAGTGGTGGTATTTGTCGCCTGTGAAGCAAACTAGAAAAACTTCCCCTCAAAATATGCACTTTGACGTGTCTTGGCGTTGTTGTGTGCATTTGTTAATTTTCTTCTCGGAGAAGTGGTATACATGCCAAACCCCCTCATGTCCATTGGTTGATTGTTCAGAACTTGTCTTTGTACTCGCCATGTGTGTGGAGCAATCGGATCAGTGACCACACATGATGGGCCTGCAAATGGTTTAGAAACTTTTAGTATCCATTTTGGGGTGGGTCCTTCCATTTCTTCAAAGAACGAATTTTGAAATATTCGCTCCTAAACCAACCTCTTCGAAGATTTGGGAGAGTTATATGATTGGGAATGTGATTTACGAATCCATTGATGAGTTATTGCACGTGTGTGAGAATTTTCAACACGAGTTAGATTGTTCGATTAAGTGTTTTCTCATGACATTTTCATTATTGCCTAGACGGACTTCTAATTCATTAATCAATATGCGTTCATTACTCATTGAAGAGATTAATCAAAGAATGTATTTGATCAATGAAATTCGAATTAAAGAACTCACCTTGAACTCATCATTTGACAATTCAGCACATTGACAATCACAATGTTGATGAGCTAGAGGAGGCATCCATTGTTGATTGTGGGATAAGGATCATTGACGTGAAGTTGATTGAATTATCTGCAAGTTTCTGGAACTTTAAATTGTAGCTTTACCAACTTTGACCTCTAATTTGACTTTGAAAGGTGACCTTTGAGTCTGATCTCGGTGAATTGACAATGTTTTTCGGAAAATGGGAGAAATCTTTGTGAAGGAGGGAGAGTGATGGCACATGAGATATGACCTTTGAGTTTGATCTCTTTCTCCCGTTTCCAAAAAGTGTTTAATGGTCTAAATCGAGTCACTGAGTCAAAAGTTATGACCAAAACAGTGCAAGAGTTGCAAAACTTAAGTTCGAGAAACATGAGTTCGAGAAAGTTTTGAGTTCGAGAAATTTATTATGAATTTATGATTGATGAAAGATAAAGATCGTCGAGGTATTTTGATCAAGGCAGTTCACTGAATAAAATGTATTTCGAAGGTCAGGTGCGAGAAACTTTGAAGCTTGGGTGAAAATTTTCTTCTGCAAAAAACTTCTACGGGAAACTTGAGTGAGAGAAAGTTGAATGCTGCGAAAAATTCTGAAGGCTACGAGAATCTTTAAGTCTGCGATAAATTGATGTCGGTAAGAAACTAAATCTTGCAAGAAACTTATGTCTGCGAGAAAAACCGATCCTACAAGAAAATTGGATTCTGCGAGAAAGTTGAGGCTTGTGAGAAACCTTTTCTCATAATGCAGCAAAAAACTGATCAGATTTCAAAATCTGTCAAAACGAAAACTGTGATATATGACATTGATGACTAGTGGAGTTGACTCACTTTCTCATTTTTTAATTAGTGATTTTGAAAAAATCCTTGCCTCATTTTTGGGTGATCGCGACACAAGGGTTATGAAATCAGATGAAGTAGAGAAAACTAACAATGGTATTTTGGAGGACAACAATATTGTTACAGGTAATCAACCTTCAGTAGGTGGTGAATGTGTCTTTATTGATCATATTTATTCATATTCAGGGGATGAATTTCTCGGTCAAGCTTCCGAGAGCGAGAAGAGACCTCCTATATCATCAATGGAAGATCTTTGGGATTCCGACACTGACCAGGACATGTGTAACAAGGCTTGGCTGGTTACGAGGGATAACTGTTTGCCTACATCGAACTTGAACACTCAGATTAAACTATATAGGAAAAAGCATCAGCGATCGCATATAATGAGGACTAGATCCCAATCTCGTGTGGATCTCTTCAGTCTGGAATAAGTGTTTGTGCTTTCTTGGGTGGTCTTTATTAGTTGCACTGTGGGTTGGGTTACCAATTGCATTTCCCCCCCCCCCCCTTTTTTGCTTTAAAAAAATGACAGTGATGCTTGTGTTCTGGCGATTTTGGTGTATGATTTCGACCCAAATCAGTGATGATCGAAGGATTTCTTGAGGCCTTCGATGAATAGAGAGCTCAGAAACAGTGATGATCGGTCGATGCCTAATAGGTGTGAAAACGCCTAATACTTTCTCATTAATTTTGGTTTTTGTTTGTCAAATTTTGATAATTTTTCCTTCAATTTAGTTTACTTATGCAATATTTTGGTTATAGGAACCACAAAGAGGATTTGAGCATTGTAGAGTGAAAATCAAGCATTTTGAAGAGTCTTGGGTGCATAAATGGATGATTTGAAGACCCCGGGATGAAGCGGTGCACAAAGAAGCAAGAAACGAAGACGTCAGAGGTGTTTTGATGGAAAACGACATATGAACGCCATAGGGAAGAACAACGTCCCTCTCGGTGTTCCTCCTATTCGTTCCATCAAATTTCTTTTCCATAGTCTCACGGGTAAGAATGCCGAATAGGAACGACGTCCCCTTCGCGTTCCTCCCATAGTTGAACTCTTTGCCGAATAGGAACGACGTCCCCTTCGCGTTCCATCAAAACGTTTGTGTTAATGTAGGAACGCTAGTATGGAACGTCGTTCCTTCTAGCGTTCCTTCCATCGTTCCTACAAAAGGGAAGGCATTACTTCCCATGTTTCCCCCTTGTACAAATACCTTCCTTTGTTCCGAATTTCATCGCTTTTGGACGAGTTTTCTTCTTGCATATCTTAGTTTTGGTTGTAAGCTTCGTTAAACTCTTTTGCACTTTATTTCTTAATATTATTTGCATCAAATCTTGATTTTAGTTTCATTTCATCCATTAGATTGCATCATTCTCATTTTTCTTTCATCTTATCCATTTATATCACTTCATGTCTATGTCTTATATTTCTTATATGAATATGAAATCTAGCATGAATGAGTAGTAGGGTTTGGGATTCGGGGTGTTTGAGGACCATCCAACCATGTGATGTGCTAGGTTTTAGGGTTTGATTTGCAGGAATTTGAGAAATATATTATGCACACAATGTATTTGTGAAAATGACTCTTTGTATTTCTTAGACTTTGATGCCACACTGTTCTTAAAGATGTTTTGAACCATTAAAGTGTAACACCGTCCTAAAATGTATTTACTTTTAAGTGAATAATGTATTGAACCTTATGGAATGTTTAATGAGTATACGAAGTTGTGAATTTTTATTAACTCTTTTGCGTGAATAGTAAATTGACTAAATTCGCACGTGGGGCCCACACTGGGAGTGGGGGCCGCCCGAAATTCCCGAAACCATATATTTTATTCATCTTGGTCGAGATAATAATTATACAGTGGTGGATAATTTAATTGGGGAAAAGAAATGACATAATGTGGACCGATTGGTCAAAAGTGGCTCAATTACCGGTATTGGTAATTTAACAGATAACAACTCAAAATGAATTTCGGAGACTTATAAATTAAAGTTGGGGAATGTATATTCATTATAAGGGTCATAGTGATTGAGAACGCATAATATATTTTATTTGACCCGATAAAATAAGATATATTTAAAACAGTCCAAAAAAATACAACTTTCGGAACCAATTGTACACTTCTGGACAAAAAGGGTTGACCTCCCACATGGGTGGGGGCCAACCCACGATTTTGGCAGCCAAAGGGGGGCTGGTTTTTGTCACACTTGGGCTTGAGAACTCTTGAGGGGATGGGAGGAACAAAAGAGACCCCCTCACCCATTTTTCCTAAAGAAACAAAAGATAACACATCTCCCTCTTTCCTCCCCCATTATTTCAGCCAAAGAGAACCAAGAGAGGGAGATAACCTCTGCAAACTCATCCTCCATAGCCAAGAACTGAGCTCAAGCTTAAGGAGTCCAAAGAAGGGGTTTTAGGAAGGAAAGAGTTGGGAGAAAGTGAGAAAGATTAAGGTAATGACCTTATATTAACTTTTGCTTTATTTTTCTCCTACCATATGAGAAATATATCATATGGAGAACCCTTGAGATTGTTCTACATGCTAAGGGTGTGGAATAATGGGTTGGAGAGTGGTTCTAAGTCCAAGAACAGACTTAGAAGCCAAACCGACCAGTTCACCGGAAAATAAGCTTTTAGAGGTTATTTGTATTGATTGAGGTTTTATGATGTTAAAACCTTGTTAGGAGCTTGATTTAAAGTATTTTTTAGCTTTGCCGGAGTTTCGCCGGAGTTGGTCAAAGTTTGCCGGAATTAGTCAAAGTTCAATCGGGAAGCGGAGAATGCGCTTAAGCTCACTTAAGGTGAGGATGACCGACTATATTGCTTATAATTATTGGGTTAATTTCATAAGATTACCTTAATGAATTAGATGTGCTTGGCATGGTTTATTAAAGATTAAAAATGCCTAAATGGAATTATTATTGTTTATAAGCAAAAATACATAATATACAAATTTGTGAATAAATTGTGTACGATTATGTGTTATGAATAAAATGGCATGATAGTTGTATTAACCAGGAATTTTATTGTGATAAATATACTTTTATCTCATGTAAAGAAGTCATGGAAGGATAAAAGTGATATTTTGATATTAGAACCAAATTATACTTGAATGTAGAAGTCAATTGAAATATACAAACTATTATGATTAGGATTGGTTATGTTAAGAATAAACGTCTAGTATAGAAATACTAGTCGAGAATGTTAGTTCAATGGTTCTTTGAAGCTAATCCCAATGTATTGAGTTGTGGTGGGTACACCCTAAGTAACCTTAAAAGATATTTTTAAGGTGGACTTTATGAACTCAAGTTACGTTAAGAGTAGGCCTTAAGGGTTACTCAAAATGGATGGAGCCTAGACTAAGAAGTTGTTTAGAGATTAGATGACGTGACTATGAGCCGAGCTCTAGCACGTGGTAGTATGACTATGAGCCGAGCTCTAGCAAAATTGTAGTATGACCATGAGCCGAACTCTAGCAAAATCTACTATGACTATGAGCCGAGGTCTAGCAAAATGTAGTACGACTATGAGCCGAGCTCTAGCAAAATGTAGTGTGACTATGAGCCGAGCTCTAGCACAAATTAGTATGACTATGAGCCGAGCTCTAGCATGAAGGAATGTGAGTTAACTATAAAATGATAACATCCTAGATTGAGGGTCTTGGAAATTGAAAGTTTGATTATACTTAGTATAGTTGTCATTGTACTTGTCAAATGCTTCCAAGTACTGACCTCCCCTTCACGGGAGAGGCCACCTCACACACTACAAGAAAATTTATTTATAGAGGCTTGTCATTGAGGCAACCTAGTTATTATTGCCTCTAAATGACCCTTTTAGCATTAGATGAACCGGGTTGCCTCTAAATGTGTAAGCTTTAGATAATTTGATGCAACCATTTCGTGATTGCCTCTAAAAAGGTACAATTTGGGGCAACCTTTATATGGTTGCCTCTAAATGTGTAAATTGAGGCAGCCATATTGTTTTGCCTCTATAAGGTACAATTTAGGGCAACACTGATATGATCGATTAGCCCTAAAAGTTGATAACAAAAATATAATCGACTCTAAAATCTTTAGTTCTAAATGTCAATCCCTTTATACTGGTAAAATTGTACGTTGGGTAGTTGACTTTTTTTGTAAATGTAAATGTTTTACCAATAGTTTAATAGATGAGTGTTTAAAATTGTATTTTTATCAAATAAATTTGGACTTCCTAAAAAAACAAAGAAATTGGGGCAACTCATTTTTATTTATAATTCACAGTGCTTTTCCAGACAATATGTATTTAAATTATTACATTTTAAGATCTAATTGGTCTTACATTGTTTCCTTAAGTTAAAGATGTTTTTAGTTAGACGTATTCTGCGATTTTTCGATTTTTTAGATTTTTTAGATTTAGACGCATTCCATAAAGTCTCACCTCGATCGATAGATACCACTTGTCTCGATCCATGGGGAGCCATCATCTCAGCACAAAAAAAAATGTGCAGGTTAACCAAGCTCGGGCTCAGCTTGGGAGATGGTGTAAAAGATCTTGAGTAGGACGAACTGGGCAGGCATCCGAAAATGTAGGGTGGCCGAGCGGGGGATCGGGACTCTGGTCTTAAAATCTCGCCTTGGCTATGCAGCTCGCCCGAACCACGATGAAGTGATTTATTGTGGTGGAACCCGAGCTGTAACCTGGAGGCGAGTCTCCATTTTGGCAGAGAATAAGGGGGAGACCCGAATTGGGAGCCTTATTCTCAATGGTCCAGGATGGACATCTCAACCTCATGATATGGATGACCCCGGACGGTAAAACCGACGGTATGCATCGGAATTATGGGTTTGGAAGATGGCAGACACTACACAAATTGTGAAACTGTCTTGCAGCAAGAGGTGATGCCTTGCGGATCAGGAAGAACACGAATGATAGCCCGAACAGGTTACATCAGCCTTGGGCCTACAAGGCAGCAGGCAGCAAGAGGCGATGCCTTGCGGATCAGGAAACTACGAACAAATGGCGGAAATAAGCCGAACAGCTTGCACCTTAACCCTGGTGCTGACTTATAGCAGAAATGACCTATTATCCAGATGATCTGACCGCTTCTGTAGCTCTACGATCAGCCACCTCGGCACGACGTGATCATCGTTGTACATCAGACCGTTCTAGTGGGACGAACGGGCGAATGGAACTATTGTTTGGAACGACCAGGGGAGAACGACCCGTTCGGCGAAGGCGAGCGAACGGGGGATATAAATTGGCTGGGAGGTGATGTGAATTCATGATGGCCCGCAGTGGTCTCGAGTCAAGTCCAGGTCTGTCTGAGTCGAGTCAAGGTCTGTCTGAGTCGAGTCAAGTCCATGTCTGTCTGAGTCAAGTCCATGTCTTTCTGAGTCGAGTCAAGTCCATGTCTGTCCGAGTCAGGTTCGTCCATCCTTAATCTAGGATGACGGCCGCTTATTTTATGCAGCACGTACGGTCTCCACAGCACCGTCGTGCCTGGCTTTCTGGCGGGCTCGTCCATCTTTGCTATAGGATGGCAACCATCGCTCTTATGCAGCACGTACGGGCTCCACAGCACCGTCGTGCCTGGCTTTCTGGCGGGCTCGTCCATCCTTGTATAGGATGGCAACCGTCGCTCTTATGCAGCACGTACGGGCTCCACAGCACCGTCGTGCCTGGCTTTCTGGCGGGCTCGTCCATCCTTGTTATAGGATGGCAACCGTCGCTCTTATACAGCACGTACGGGATCCACAGCACCGTCGTGCCTAGCTTCCTGGCGGGCTCGTCCATCCTTGCTATAGGATGACAACCGTCACTCTTATGCAGCACATACGGGCTCCACAGCACCGTCGTGCATGGTTTTCTGACGGGCTCGTCTATCCTTGCTCTGGGATGGCGATCGTCGCTTTTATGCAGCACGAACGGCTGGCTCTACAGCGCCGTCGTGCCTTCTTCTCGGTCAGGTCCACCCATGCCATTCAGGGTCGGGACTGCCGTCTTATGCATCACGAGCGGTTGGCTCTTTAGCGCCGTCGTGCCTAGTGAGGGATTGCACCTCACTTATGGCTTATGCATGCCTTGCGTCCGAGATTATTCCAAGAATCTGATTCAGGGAAGGCAGGGAAGGACGTGAGCAGGATTATACTTTCTCGAGTAGATTCACTGGCTCACTACTCAAGAAACTGGGGGACTTGTGTTGGGGTGTATTACCCCGGCCCACTATTGTTCAGAAGCCCAAGACACCGCCCCGGTACGAGGCCCAGTCAGCGAGGCTCATTCAGGCTGACCTGGCCCGTTTTCGGCCCACCTAGGCCTATCTCGGCCCATTTGCGGCCCATTAGACTAGAGGGTTTTTCCCTCCCCCTCCCTATAAATAGGAAGCAAGGCTTCCATGCTAAAGGATCGGATTTTTGCTCTCCTCCCCCCTAGCTTCATTCATATTTATTCTTTAGAGATTAGGAAGCTTCTTCAAGCTCCATTAATGGAAGCTCCAAATATGTATTATGTAACTGAGTGATGAGAGCATATCAATGATAAAGAGCGGGCTTGGACGTTAGCCTAAAAAGTTCCGTGGTTTTCTCCCTTTCCGGGTTTCCACGTAAAAATAGCTAGTTCATACACCTTTTATATATTTTATTTGTATTTATACCAAATCCATCGTCCTTAATATCCGAAGTTTATGTTGGGCTTTCGGATCTACGGGACAAAACCTCAACAACATTCTTTTGGTATAATGCAATCTCTAATATATGGATTTGATTACATGTTAGACCACTTAAGCGAGTAATGTAAGTAAGTCTTTTCATAATTATTTTGTTACATATATATTGAAACAATCAATTTGCAAGTAATCGACTTTGAAAGACTAGTGATTGACTTTTTTGAAAGACTAGTGATTGACTTTTTCATTCGAATAGTCTATTTTTATGTCTCATATCATTATAACTTTGAGTTATATGGTTGTAATTGTTCACAATATCTTATCAATATTAATTAAACTGATTCATTTTTAAAATGTGAGCCATGTTATGATTTATACGTTTGATTAGTTCAATTACTATCAATTATGTAATAAAAATTAAAACCAAGACTCACATACTTCCTTTGATACATGTAATAAGAAAGTAAAAACCGTATGATTATAGGTTGTGTAGATGAGAGAGAAATAATAGTACATACTATAAATTAGTTACTTTTTTTGCAACAACCATAAATTAATTACTTAAATGATGACATAATTTTTTGGGAAAGAAGAAAAGATAACAAGGTTGTAAGGCACCAAGAGGGTATATCATTATTTCAGTTATTCTCTATCATGTAAAGAGTATTATATAAAAATCAAGATTCTTAATTATGTCTAAATTGATAGCATTGAAATTGACTAAATTGGATGAATACGTTCAAACTCTAACTCAAGTGGCTAAATTAACTAAATCTGGTGAAATATGGAAAACTTTAAAATGTATTTTATTAATTAAGTAATGCAAGATTGTGTATATACGAAACGTGGTATTTCCCTAAACTAGGGTTTCTTTCTGACGTTTGAGTGCGGGTTTTCTTTCGATCGACGTGCAATGCCTCTGGATGGACGGGATCTCGAGCTCGGAAATGGCAGAAGGATCACAACAAGATGGCGACGAGGCAGATTCAGTGCAAGAAGCTGCTGGACAGATGGAAAATTTAACTAGGTCACCTGGCGTTAGAGAAAGGCTGATCGAGAAGGGTACATGCTCCGACAAAGATGGCTGGGTTGTGAGCATGACGGATGGGAGACAGGGCAAGAGGAATCTACTCCGATTGGTTTATGCTTCGATCCATCCTGCGTCAACAATCATAGTGATGGTCCGACCTCCTCCTGAACCACCGCCAGAGGTTGAACGAGGTGCTAGGGTTCACAAATTTTATTTTGCTTATATAGTTTTCTTCATGTTTCATTTTTATTTGGATCTTTACTCTGTTTTTGGTTTTGCCGTGTTCTTCTGGTAAAAAAAAACTCTAGAACCTAGGACATGTGATGGGGAGTCTGGTTTGCTTGTCATTGGCTTGTTGTCATTTTGTAACTTGCTCATGTTCCGTTATCATAATTTAAGCCACTTTCATTAAAAAAGAATTAAGTAATGCAAGATTGTATGAAAGCACTAAAATAGTCCCTTGCAATGAAATTAATCAATTCAGTGAAAAAATAACTTCACTCTTAATTATTATTATTTCTTTTTATTACTCCACAATCACCAAAAGCTTAATATTTCATATAAAAAATTGATGATAAGCATGCTAAGCTGAAATTATGGGCTAGTTAATTTTATGAATATTACTAAATAAAGGCTGAAAGACAAAAAAGTGATCACATAAACAAAATTCCAAAAATATGACTAGTGTGCAGTGCCTTGCAATTTTAGAGACCGTTTGGCAACACTGTTTTTCGGCTTATCAGGTTTATCAGCCAATTTTTTCACCAAACACGTAACTTTTGCTTTTGCGCATTGAATTGTTTAATAAGCAGAAAAAGTAAGGTTGGAGTTACTTTTCTGGCTGTATTGGCTGAAGTTACTATAGATGAAGATTTTAGCTATTTTTACATATAATTTTTATTTATTTTATTAATAAAATATATTTTAAAAATGTTTTTTCTTAAATCAGCAGAATCAGCCAATGCAGCCACTTCAGCCAGAACTTCATAAATTTCAGCAGAATTAGCCAAAACAGTTGATTTTGGTGCTACCAAACAGGCTCTTAGTGATTGAACAAATAGTGATCACTCCGTACAGTGACTACTTCCACCGTCGCCCCAATCAATGATTGCCGCCGCCACATCTAGTGGTTGCGCCACCGCCCCGATCAATGGTTGCCGCCACTGTCCCGATCAGTGACTGCCACCACCCTCGTCCAGTGATTGTCGTTGCCGCCGGCCAATGACTGCTGTCGTTACCCCTAGCCAGTGACTGCCTCCATCCCCCGACCAATGACGGCCACTGTCTCCCGGTCAGTGACTCCCCCCGGCCAAGGACTGCCGCTCCCATTAGTGACTGTCGTTGTCACTGATGCCACCGTTCACCAGCCCCAGCCCTCAGCTGTCACAACCACCGACCACCGTTGATCCGATGACACACCACTGTCCTTGACCAGCCCCAGCCCCCAGCTCCACTCCTGGTCCCCAGCCCCCTCCCTTGCCCCGCACCCTGTCCTCCCTGGGCCTCTCTCCGACCAGTTCGCCAAAAGCTTAGCCATACCACCACCAGCAGCATGGAGCCCTCATCGCACCCCCACCAGCAGCGGCCCCAAATCGGAGTCGTCGTCCTTCGAGATGGAAGATTCAGCACCTGCGGCCCCAAATCGCAGCTGTCATCCATCAAGGATGGTAGATCGGGTACCGACAGCCCTAAGTCACAGTTGTCATCTATCCAGGCGGCGGATCTAGCATCAGCAACCTTCTAGAACGATGGAGAAGCTAGCAATAGCAGCCATCAACTATCGGCCAGCTGAGGTGCGACCATCGTCCATTAGTCAACAGAGGCACGACCATCAGACAACGAGAATGACGAGTAGAGATTGCAACAATGAAGAAGAAATGAGAAGAAGAAGAGAGCGGCGATAGGGAGAAGACATAGGCGAGGTCGGCAAAAAGATAGGGGGTAAGGATTTGTGATATAAGTAAAGATTTTTCATTATGAATAAATCTTTGACTATGTAACATATATTTTTAAGGTACACGGTCAAAGATTTATTCATAATGAAAAATCTTTTTTTAAAAATATATTACATATAAACTTAATATAATTTTACGTTTTCAAGACAATGTTTCGGCTCTTTTGTCAAACACAAGTACTTCATTGAGTTGATGATTCATATTCAATACTTTAGAATTCAATTTAAGTTATTGTATTCAATTCAAACAATAATCTTTAATTAACATATTGGAGCCTTCAACTAAAGCTCAAGTTGCAAAAGATAGCCTTAGTTGAGTTAGGCTTCATTTAATTTGATTTTGGTCGGTTTAGTTTTGGAATTTGCTTCTGCTTTTTCGATTTTTTATTCATGCCTAGATTGTGCAAACTTTGGGGTGAAAACATAAACAATATTTTTTCCCACTTTGAGTTGCAAACCGTCTTAGGGAGTGTTTGCAACTGCTTCTGCTTAAAAAAATCACTTTTAGAGATGTAAGGAAAAAATTATTAGTAGTAAAAGTTGATAGTATTTGAGAAAAAAGTGATTTTTAAAAGTAAAAGTTGGTAGTGTTTAGTAAAATAAGTGTTTTTTGTGTAATAGAAAAGGGAAAATCACTTTTCACACGCAAGTCGAGAAAAAGTAAAAATTATTTGTATTTGGTAAATAAGTGTTTTTTTAGTAGTTACAAACACCTTGAACTTGCAAAACAGTACGTCGTAGATCTCATTATCTTGAGTTCAATCACTGATCCCACAGATATTCTGTACGGATTATATGAGTTGGGTAGGGTTTTCCTAAGTACGTAGTAATAAAATTTTAGTAGCACATTAATTGAACTAGTCTGAAGTACGCGTTTTGCTACTCCGTACAATTAATTGTCCAAGTTAACTAACTCAGACTCTTGGTTAAGGGCAGATGGTTACATGTGGTTGTTTTGTCTTTTTTTTACGTCTGTTGAATGCTATTTTATCAATATAAGCCCCCTTCGATAAAAAAAACTATTTTTTCGCCATCCCCACAGATGAAGGAAGAAACAAATATCTCTGAAATTTGCTGGTTTGATCTCATCTGGTCTAGTCTGAAGTAGTCTGGTAAACATCTGGTCTCTGCATTTTATGACTACGGAAGTCTGGTCTGATCTGATCTGGGACAGAAAACAGTCCAAAAGAAAACATTCTTGATTAGATTTAAATCAAAATGTAAAATAATACTCTCTTTGTCTCATTTTACATGTCATACTTTTCTTTTTGGGTTGTCCAAAGAAAAATTGCCCTAACTAGGAGTAATGAACTTTGGGAATTCCAAAATAGGACAACTATGTTTTTCATTAATACTGTAACTATTTGGCGGTCATGACTAAAAGATGATAGTAAATATTGTCATCTTAGTTCTATTTCGAGAAGAAAAACATAACAGATCTATATATTTTGGAATTCTAAACTCTAGTTATCCAAAATAAGTGCCACATTTAAAAAAAAAAATATATTGTCTGTAATATTTTATTTTATTATATTCAAATCTCAGATATAACTTTTACATTTTCAACCACTTTGTTAATATTAATGTCAAACTAAAGTATGACACATAAAATGGGACAATAATAGTATTATACGGAGAATTTATCAGTCAAACACTCAGATAGAACCAATGGGGCTCTATACCTTTGTACATTTCTTACTTCACAACTCCCTTATCCTCCCATCAATTTATGTAAATTCAACGGATCAATGAATTAAAAGATGTACTTGTATGTAAAATCAGCGGATCGATGAATTAAAAGATATTTATGTTAAATCAGCATATCAATCAATTGAAAGTAAGGGAATATATTTTTGAAACAAGGGGTCCTAGTGGATATGGTATTAAACCTATTAAAAAATGGGAAAGAGGATATTGTGATATACCCACCGTACGATGATATTAGGTGTACAGAAAAGCAGCCGTACGGGAGGGTACGAACCCAACTAACAAAATGAGAGAAGCACACGAAAATGTGATGGGGGCATGTCTTGCCCCAGCACATGCTCTTTCAGTACTGCCCCTTTTCCCTTCTTAAACTAACCTTCATAAACTACAAGGTTCACAAGTCACAACCTTTATTAATTTACATAGAATCATGTCACATCCCCACCCAACCCTACATCTTAAACCATGTTTTTTTCATTTTCTCCTAAATGGTAAAAAGATTGTGATCTTTTTGTTCAAAAATTATTGTAGGAGTTTTCCTGTATTTATGTAAAAAATTATTTATGTAAACTATGTCTGCTCTTCAAAGAAAAGCATAAATTGGTACGAGTATGTTTGTGTGGAAGTGTAAAAATACTTCTAGATGCTTCAAATCGCTTCTAGTTACAGTTTTCTAGAAATTAGGGACAGTGGCTAAGTCAGAAATGGTAGGTTAGGGAGGCTCAAAAAAATTATGTTGTTGGGGCTAAATCATAAAATTTCACTGTGCTGGATATGAATTTACATCCCAAAATTTTAACCAGCCTCTGATCCCCAACGTATATCCACCCCTGATCGGGGGACCAGAGGAGATTAAGTTTAGAAACGAGGTTAATTCTGATTCTTCCTACTAAAAAAAGAATCAAATACAATTTTAATTTAGAGGTCTCATTTACTCACAAATTCCTCTTCTTTTTAGTCTTACATCATGGTCACTAAACAAATATATTATGATCACTAAAATACAAAAAAGGCATATTTAACACGATTCCATTCAATAATATATCTTTTTTATTTTATTGTTGTAGATTGCAGGAGTGAAATTCTAGTATGTGTGAAATAATACATAATATATAATCAACGTAATGATAGAAAATGAATGATGAACTTTATCTTACCAATAAAATGAGTATTTAATTCAAATTACAAGTTGAATCCAGATTTAGCATTAATTAAAGACAGAAAGTTACATTTGTATACAAAATTAATTAGTAAGCAAATTGTACAAAGCCCCCTCATTGTGTACAAACAATTTGTTTAAAAAAACAAAATTGCCTTTCAAAATGTGTGTACACATAAACAGGGGTTATGCTTGGTGTACACAAAAAGTGTACACTTTTTGTGCACTACCTGTGTTGCATCTTTCTTAACGAATTGAGAGACAAATGTTGCTATCTTTTTTAACGATTTGCCTTTGTACACGGGCAACCAGGAGGAATGTATACAAAAAGTGTACATATTTTGTGTACCTTTAGTATTTTTGCACAAACTGTATACAATTGTACATAAATTTTGGGTAGAACAAAAGTATCTCAATGAAGAAAGTAACTAAACTGAATCGCCACACACCATTCAATCATTCAATCACGTTTTGCTTTACATATCTAGAATCTTCCGTCAATTAGTGAGAAATCATCTTTGTCTAGTTTTTCCTTTTATATTAAGATGCATAGATAACACGTGAAAGTAAAAAGATTAGATATATAATTACTTT